TTTTCTGATCTTCTCCTTGAAAAGTTTGGGTATATAATGGTAATTTGTTAGCTTTTTTCTTCCACTTTAAATTAACTTTGAACTTGCTCAAGAGCAGTTTGTGATCTAGTCCACACTCAGGTCTGGCCACATTTATGTTGTTACAACTGAGTTTTTCCATCTCCTTCCCCCAATAATATAGTTAGTTTGGTTTCTGTGTACTCCATGAGGTAAAAAAAAAAATCCATGTATACAGGTGTTGTTGTGGTTGTTGGACAACTGTGTTATCGATGAAGAATTCACCAGATTGATAAAGATTTACAAGTTGATCTCCTGTTTCATTTTGGTTTCCTAGGTTATAGAGTCAAACCAGGTATATTCAATTTTAGCATTCCAGTCTCTAACCAGAAACAACACATTTTGCTCACATGTTCTGTCAATTTCAAATCTATATACTAAAACTTTCACATCTGTAACCTTTAACTGGACAAAACAGTGCAACATAGGGCAACAATTTTTGAACCAAGGTACATCAAATGATCTAACCTATAGAATGCATTCAAAATCTGGGGCTCATCTCCCATGGGATTGAAATTTGGCAAATCTGTGGTTACTTCAGTGCTGCTGTGAGATTCAATAGACCAATATCACCCTAGTCTTTGAACAGCACATAGACTGGTCTCTTATACTGCTGTTGCCCAATATAGGTGCTTGATTGATTTAGCTGTGCAACTTGGATACACTGCATTGGGTGACCCTGCTGACATATTCCTCCCAGGAAGTCCTCTCCCTCTACCACAATGAGGTCATGCAGCAGAATTTGGGAGACATTATATAATATCCATGTCTACATTTTATTGTTCATAACCATCCTTAGAAGTACATTTCAAAAGCAAAGATATTTTGTCAGAATTAACATATAACAAGTTCCACTAAACTATGTCTTACAGTTTCTTAGAACCATATGTAACTCATGCTCACACTGCTAAATCCTACCCTTAAACATAGCGTATCCCCCACATATTCTAGAGGCAATTAAGTCTTATAGTTTTATATAAATTTTTTATCAGTAATAATAACAAACCTGATTATTGGTCTATTCATATCAGCAATATATTTCATCAATTAAATAATAAAGATTTATAATAAAACCCATAAGGCAGGGCCAGCAACAATTTCAGGTCAGAGATGCCACAAAAGTGCCTAGTCCTTCTAATAAAATTTCCCCAGCTGCAAATATACATTCATGGACAGATATGCTAATTATGTCAAGCAATAGCAATAAGACTTATATACCACTTCATAGTGTTTTACAACTCTCTCTAAGCAGTTTACAGAGTCAACATATTGCCCCCAACATATTGCCCTCATTTTATCAACCTCAGAAGGATGGAAGGCTAAGCTGATCAGAATCAAACTCCTGGCAATCTAACTACTGTGCCATCACAGCTCTTAGTCTGTTTTAACTATAACTTGTTAAACAATTATTTGTGTGACTAATTAATGAAATGTAGTTTAGAACATAGTTAGGTTCATCCAACGTGCTAAAGAAAACAAACCATGTTATTATCAGCATTGTGGGCAAATTGTATCTCTGAAAGCTCTTTGATAAGTCACAACTCTCACCGTTCTTGATTAATCATCAAATTTGTAACATGGAATCAATGCAGCTTATCCTACTGGACAGTTAAAAGGATTACTGAGACATAAGAACATAAAAGCTCCTGCTGAGTCAGGCCACAAACCCTTCTAATCTACCATTCAATGTCACAAAGTAATCATTTAGGAAGCTCCTGAAGCTGGGCTGTAGACCAGTAGACCTTTCTCAATATCACTTCCTAGTAGCTACTACAAAAGCATTGCTGTCCAAGATTTAGGAGGGAAACAATCATCATTATTAAGAGTAATTGATTGCCAAATACTCCATGAATTTGCCCAGCTCCCTTGTGAAACCATCCAAACCTATTGCCATTTCCACAATAATAAATGCTAGCCATTTTATTAGATACCACATGAAGAAAATATTTCTTTATGTTGGTCTGAAAGCTCTCTGCATCTAGTTGCAATTGATGGCCCTCAGTTCTAAAACTGTGAGAGAGGAACAAAATATAGTATATGAAGCACCTTGAACACTCTTGGGCTTTAGAAATGTTAATCATTCCTATTTAATCACCACAACCACATTTGCTTTCATTATCTGTTCAGCTAGTTTACATTGACAGACAGTTGCTACTAGGTGTGGCTGTGTCTAGGCTGAGGGCGATTGGCTTTTTCTCTAGTTTTTCCATATTTACTCTTGTCTGGGCACTGCTCCATGGGTGCACCCTCCCTTGGCCAGCAGGCAAGTGGTTCTACAAGGGTGTGTCTCTTGAGTTGGCACTGCTTGGCAGACTGCCTCTCTGAGCTGACTAGAGCCAGACATGGAGCTATTTTCTGTCAGACAAACAGGTTGACTAACAACTAGAGTGTTTTCCTTTTTGGCATCTGAATAGTATCTCTATGTCCTTTTTATTGCTGACTGAGTTTATCAATGCCATCGCACAAATGAATGATCCATTAGATCCAATAGTCATTACAAATATCCTCAAGCTCATACACTGTATACTGAATCGGTATACGTATCTAGAACAAGCTAAATGCTGAAATGGAGTTTAGTTCCCATTCTGCCTCTCTCAGAAACTTACTAAACATTACCATCTGGCAAGGCATCCAAGTCTCCAAATCTGCAGTAACAAGATTATTGATATTGATAACAGTATTAATTTAATATACAGATCTATTTCTTCAGATGTTATACTTTTATGCAAATGTTGAGCCTTTTTCTTCAACTTAAAAGTTTACAGTATAATCTTCTGTGCTAATCTTCTAGTGTTTATGTAACTTATCTATTGTCACTTTGACCTGTATGATAAGCCTCCTAAAAATCCCAGTTCTGTTTTTTTGTCCATTCTCTGATCCACACAGTATTCTCATCTTTAGCTTTGAAACTACCAAAATTTTTCTTCTTCATTCCATTCTAAATAATACAGTTCCTTTTCCTTCCTTCTTTCTCTTTTGTCCATTCAAACCATTGCTCATTCCCAGAAAAACTTCATTCTTTCTTGTCAACTCTCCCTTCTACTAGGAACCTCTTCACAGAATTCCCCCATATATCCATCTCTTTGCATAATTCATTTCTGGGAAATTTATTAAATAGCTAGTATCCTGTAAGTAAGCCAAAGCAAATGTGATTAAAATAATCAAATGCTCTTCTCTTATTTTACCCCAATCCTTCTCAGAGTTCTTACCTGTTTTGACAGGGTAACCTCCTTAGTTTTAGGATAGATGCATTTTTATTCCTTCCACAGATACATATTAGGGTGTGATTCAGCCTTTTAACGTGAAAATTACTATTGCTGTGGGAAAACGCCATCAAAACCTGTTTAAAGTTAAGAAAGTGAACTTGCAAGATTGCTCATTCAGATAACACATTCATTATAGCATATGGCAGTGATGGCGAACCTTTTAGAGACCGAGTGCCCAAACCGCACCCAAAACCCACTTATTTATCGCAAAGTGCCAGGGCAGCATCAGCATTGTGGTGCCCTCGGGGGGGGGGCAGGGAGGCACCTCTGAGTGCCGCCTCTGGCATGCAAAAACTGGGGACGCAAAAATGGATCACCATGCTACAAGGCGCAAAAATGGCCACTGCGGCAACGCAAGGTACAGATACAAGGCGCTGCACCACTCAAGAACGGGGCAGGGTTAGTGAGTAGGCACTAGCCCCACCCCATTTGCAGTGCGTGCGTGCTCGTGGCGCCATGTGTGCATGCACATATGTAAAATACTTCCCCCTCCTTTTTCTTCCAGTCCTCCAACTGACAATGGTTGGTGACCTCTGCTTTACCACCTCTACTCGAGCTTGCTAGTTGGCCGCTTCGCCTCCTCTGTGCTGGGCGGGGCTCCTGCTCCGGGCAGCAGGGGTGGCCTGATGAACCTGGTGGCAGTGGCTTGCATGCCAACAGAGAGGGCTCTGAGTGCCACCTCTGGCACTTGAGCCATAAGTTCGCCACCACTGGCATATGGCTTAAGAATAAATCCACATTTTTATACAAATTTCTCTGTGCAACTTGCCAACTACCTTAGATGCTAGCCTAGTATTTGTTTTAGAACTCTTGTAATATCTGTCAATAACTCCCACCCTCATTAACCAGGCAAAGAAGTCTAAAAGCAGACAAAAGTTATGGGCAGACAATAATACTCTAGCCAACATTTGTAAGCTATGTGAAGAGGCAGGCAGGAACCAGTCACCATACTAAATGAATTTGCAGCAACTATAAACCACAGTGACTATGATGTCTAAACATAAAGAATAACCCTTCTCCTCCCATAACATAAGTTCTTCCTTCATTAGTATTTTCTTCCCTCCAAGCATCTGTGGATGTGCCAAAAAAGAATAATTTTGGGAATGTTTAATTCATTCCCAGAAGAAATGCTCCCAGAACGTTCTACTCCACTTGAGTATAAAGTAACCAACAAAGCAAAATAGGAATGTTGTCAAAATATATTACCCACTGTTTTCACAGAGCACAGGAAGTGCCAATCTGCAGTCAGGCTTCAACACTAATAACTTTTGTACACAGAATCAGAGATGCCAGGAAAATTACAGAGTTTGAGATATCAGGATGCTTTCCCCACTCCTGTGATACTTAATTAGCAATATTTTAATGGAGTGCAAGGGAACAATATACAACAGTAACAATTCTTTACACAGCATCTAAATCATATAATTCAGCATCAGGCAAACAGTGCAGGATTATTATTTTTTTTTTGAAGTCTGACGTTTAGTTTTGTCATCCTTATTTTTTCTGCTTATTTTGCTTTTATTGTAATAGTGATAACTTTTTTAAAAAATTGCACATGAATATTTATTTAGTGGGGAATCTCCTTTTTAAAAATGTTATTAGTGCGCAATTCACTTTACTATTTGCATTAGCAGATTACTGTGATTTGCTTTCCTCTGAGCCACGGGCGCGCTCCCTCCCAAAGCCCTGCGTGCCTAGCTCACCTCCAAATGAACTGCCAAGCTGCAATTTTAAATGTGTTTAAAACATTAAACCCAGAACTACATCAATTGCACTTATTAATATAATCATTTCTTTCATTGTCCCGTCTCATACACTTTTTTTAATCTTGCCCGTTTTTTGTACCCCATTGCAGATCGCCAAAGGTGGCCCTAGCCTTTTGAGATACTGGTGATTGCGGTTGCGAGCCCGAAAGTCCTCTATACATGCCCAGAGGCGCTTTCTTCTTTCCTAGAGTTTGGCCCAGGGCTAAGAAACAGTCTTTTTGGTGGCAGGAGAGAAACCAGAGGAGGCGGCAGGGCTCCTTTTGAATGGAGCTAGGCGGGAGCTGGCTGCTCTCTCTCCTGCAGCGGCGTGTAAGAGGAGGAGGAGGAGGAGGAGGAGGAGAAGGGAGGCGCGTTGAAGCAGGCGAGGCCTGCGCGCCGGAAGTGAGCGCCGACTGCGGGGAGAGGAAAAATCCCGGCCGGTGGAGGGGCTCGCCGACGCTTGCGGTGGCTGCGGTCGCGCCGAGAGAGCGCGCGGCTGAGAGGCATCTCGCGCAGGGAGGAACCCTCGTCTGGCTCCGTTTCCAGAGCGAGTGAGAGAGAGCAGCGCAGCCACAGCGGGAAGGGAAGCGAAGGAAAGGGAAGCCACTCCAGCTCCGCCACTCCAGCCAGCGGCCGCCGGTAGCAACAGGGACGTTAGGAGAGGAGGAGAAGGAGGAGTGCCGCCGCCGCCGCCTCCGCCGTGAGCACCCTCTTTCCTTCACCCGGGGAAAAGGAGGGGAGGGCAGGCCAAATCACATTCCCCCACATTTTCGACTTGGAGGTTCCGCGAAGGAACGTCTGCCGTTTCCAGGCCGTGGAGCCCCGAGTGGGGTGCCTAAAAGCTGAGCTTGGGTGGCTGTGCCGCCGTTGCTTCAGATCGGAGAGGCTGCCCTAGGCGAGCAGCTAAGGTGTCGGTGAAAGCGGCGCCTGCGATCAGGCTCTTTTTTTTTTTTTTCCCTGACTCGGAGATTGTGGGGGGGGGGGAACACCCATTTTCTCCCGACGAGGCCGGGCTTCCAAGCCCATTCATCCAGCTAAACCCTGGGGTGGGGGTAGGAGAGGAATGCAAATGGCCCGCCCCATTTCTCTCTGAAATCTTAAGAAATACACATTTTCAAGAAACCCAGGAGCGAGATTGAAGGCTGGTTGTCGTGCAGATTCTTCTCTTTATAAGAGGAGTGGGTCTAAGAGCGCTGGGGTAGTTACTGCGCATGTGCTTATGGAAGTAGAAGCCCTAACCACCCATAGGAGAGACACTATACTGGGGTGGGGGTTGTTAATTATTCCTTCATGAACAGGAAGGGATGAGCAGGAAGGCTTGAGGGAAGAAACCGTTGTCCTTTTTCTCATTTATGAGTGTATTAAACCACTGCCTGTGGATCCATCTTCTCCCCTTTCGCACCTTCCTTCTGGGAGCAGTTACGTTTAATGGGTTTGTCTAGTCACTGTTTGGACCGCTTTCTGTCTAAAATATCATCCAGGGGCATTCGTAGTGATAGCTGTCAAACAGGCAGAGAGATTCAAGTGGAATAATCAAAAAGCAAATGCCACTTCCAGCACTGAGGCAGAAAAAAGAGTGTACAGTGCTGAGATACAGAGATGTTGCTGCTTCCAATGAGACTCCACCCTGTGGAGCTTGAATGAATATAGTTTTCCTCTCCAGCTTCTAATAAACATATGAAAATTTGTATGGAATTATTCAGGAATCCAAAACTGGTTAAGTGATAAAAGTTAATAAGAGTTGATTGCTATGCACCATGCCTTTTAGAATGCCTTCACGTAGCTGTTTTAAAAATAATGATATGATAGGTCATTGAAATACCTTGAAATTATAGCTAGCTACTTTCATTAAAGCAAAGACGTTATTGACTAGCCAAAATTGCTGGTAGTGATAGAGAAATAAATTATTGTAATGTTGGCCTTATGTGCAAAAAGGAATAAAATGAAATTATTAGGTAAGTTTAATTTAGAACAGTTTCTTGAATACAGTTGAATAATAGAACTTTCATAAACCTGTATACAGATAATTAATCTGCAAAATAAGTTGACATTTTTTAAAAACTGCTTAGTTTTCTAACAGTTTATCTTGACCAATGGAGCTGAAATTAATACACAAATAAAGGCAAATATACATGTCCCAGGTTAATGTTACAGGATTCAGTGCAGATTGGATCCTGCAAAATTTAATACAGATTTATTACAGGACAATAATTATAACAGAATCTGAAAATAGCAAAAAAAATTCCTCAAAGTTAAGACTACTAGTTGCAGCAGTAGTGTACACAGTTAAAAGGGAAAATTAAACATTTTTTGGCTGGGGCTGTTGGCTTTTCTCAATTTGATATTACATAGCTGAGAGTTATGAATACAGAGGCTTTAATGATTATCTCAGGTAGAAAAATATGGGAAGAGGTAGTACTTGAAACATTGCTATGAAGGCTAGCACTACCATTTTAATTTTGGCTTAGAAGTTTACTGGTGGATGTGAGATAACCACATTTTTCCAAAAGGAAGATGATCCTGTATTTATTTATTCCCCTACAAAAGACAATATAGTCTGCCTCTATTGTCACAATGTCAACAAATCTAAGATGAAGCTTCTATTTTAAAATTACCATAAATTAATCTTTAGGAGTGTGTGTGGACCAGGTTTCCTTTCAGTAAATACTAGATAACCTATGATCTGTTGAGTCATCTTGAGTTGTGGCATAAATGAGCTAGCTTTTTTTTTTTAATCTGAATGCTGGATGTTCACCATCTCAAGGGTATTTGATGTGATTATGGGGATACTGCAATGGCCAGAAATATGGGTATAAACTGCTTTGATGGTGGAAATTTCAATTCTACGGGAGTAATGGGCCCTGGGATTTTTTAATGCGTTCTTTAAATAAGGGGATTTGAAGTACCTTATATGAAAACTTGCTGTGATATACCAGGAGCAGGGAGCAACTTCTGACTTCCTGCTGGCTTCCCCATTGACTTTACTTATGGGAAACTGTCAGGGAGCATTGAAAATCACAATCATGTGACCATAGCTAACAGTGCTGCAGTAGCCACAAGTTTGCCAATGCAACTGATCTGAAGATCCTTGAAATTTCAATTCAATGGGGATAAAGGGTCCCAGATTTTGTAGGCATTCTTTAAATTAGCGCATTTGAGGTATCTTGATTCAAAAATTGCTGCCCTATGATGCACCATTTCTGCTAATTGAAGGTTACGAACAGACAAATAGAGTTTAGTGGTATATAAATAGTTATTAAAACTCAGTTGCAGACACTGGGTAACATTTCCAGGCCATCTTCAATGGCAACCCTACACATAATGAGAAATTAAAGATCACAATCATGGATAACAAGCTTTTTCCATCTAGGAAAGTTTGTAGCTGGTAACCAGCCTAAGCTGTTAAAGGTAGTCTATGCTACAGAAGACACTTCCACAACAAGCTGAACATCTACATAGATTGATGAACCACACACTACCAATATTAAAATCTTATCTGAATTAAGGTTTAGTTTATCAATCTTTAGGTCCATGTAGTGCCATGATGATCAGGTACTTCCACTGCCTCATTAGAAATGGATTAAAAAAAGAAAAACTGCTAGCACTGTATTTTAGATCTTTGAACAATTGCACTTTCAATAGCTCTTTAATATGCGACAGAGCTCTGCAGAGCCCCAAATAATAAATACCATAAACTTAACCAGAATTCCCCAAGTATGAGCGATATTTCCATTGGACAAGTTTTCTAGTAGGGTACCATGGTTGATAATATTGAAAGCTTTTGGAATACCAAGGAAATTTAAGAGGATTGCATTCACGAATTCCATGTGATGATGAACACAGATGTGTTTTCAAACAGTAGTTGAAATGTATTGGGAAAATCCATTTAATTTTAGAAAGTGTGGGTATTTTAAATGGTATTTGTTAAAAAGTGTTGAAATATAAAAGAAAAAGAGTTTACATTAAATAGTGAATTAACAGTAAAGGAAAAAAACCTTTAAATATGTTACAGTAATTGAGCTAAACACAATAACAAATTAATAGAAGGAACAATCCATGTGATAAATATGAATACCTATGACACCTTCCCTATTTTGGTTAAAATCAACTGTACTGGGAACATCTGGATGTGATCACTTAGTTATGAATCTTGCCAAATCCATGATAAAATTAACTTTAAACTTGAATATCCATAATCACAGTCATGTAAAGTTTGGTTGTATTGAATATGTTAAGTCAATATTAAAACTCTACTTAAGGCCAACTTGAAAATTGTAGAAATATATAAAATCACAAAAAACTCTTAATCATTCAAGATGTTCCAGAAAGCAGACTGGAGAAAAGCCTACTTAGTGCTGGTCATGTAATAAAATTAAGACTTCAAAAGGTTGTATGATTTTCATCTAGCTTGATAAATAATTTAGATGATTATCTTACCTTTTCCTCTTAATGTTCATATTTAAAACTTGTAATAATACAGTGGAAAATGGATAGTGGGACTCAATTCGTTATTGTGGAGGGATATAGCATCATACGTTTGAAAGGGATCTTAGAGGTCTTCTAGTCCAGGGCTTTTCAACCAGTGGTACGGGTACCACCTGTGGTACATTGGCACCTGGCAGGTGATATGTGAGCGTCTTAGAAAAGTGGTAGTGGGAGAGGGGAATGAGCTGAACCGATGTAGCACCACACAAGCCTGACCGAGAGATGGCTGGAGCTGCAGGGCTGTCAGGGCTCAACGGAAGCGCCAGGATCAATGCTGCTTTCCAGCTGATTGGTGCTTCTTCGGGGCTGTCAGGGCTCAGTGGAAGCGCCAGGATCAGTACCAGGCTCCAGCTGGAGCTCAGCGCTGATCCTGGTGCTTCTGCTGATCACTGAAGAAGCACCAATCAGCTGGAAAGCAGCATTGATCCTGGCACTTCTGCTGAGCCCAGAAGAAGCGCTGATCAGCTGGAATGTTGCAGCATCTCCAGGGTCTTGTGATTTACATTCAGATGCTTGGCAACTGATTCATATTTATGACAGTCACAGTGTCCCAGGGTCATGTGAAGTGACCAAAATCTGCTGCAATCACCCAGCAGATGGAATAAAAACCAAACACCACCCTACACCACCCCTGCTGCCAATCCTCAACAGAAATGCTCACAACAATGAAAACCTTGGACAGAAGGAAGAGCGCCGCCGGGTGGGTAGGCAGGTGTCTTGCTCAACTATGGCTTGGGGGGCACTTTTTTCAGTGCCATTGTAACTTCAAACAGTCACTAAGTGAAATGTTGTAAGTCAAGGACTACCTGTACTTTATCACTTTTTTCCTTTTTTCGGGGGTCATCAAGTTTTTGACACCTTGCTAGGCGACTAGTGGTACTCAGATATTGCCATATCCTAAAAGTGGTACAGTGGGTGAAAAGGTTGAAAAACCCTGTTCTAGTCCAACCCCCTTGCCATCATAGACAAATAGCTGTCCAATCCTTTCTTGAAGACCTCCAATTATGGAGCACTCAGAACTATGTATATGTGACAGAAATGCTATATTAACTATTGTTCAATTTTAGCCCTCAACTTACTAAAAAAAAGTCTGTACAAGTGAAGGATGAAGAGAAGGATAAAACTGTAGAAAATGCTAAATCAGAATCTAGTGTCCCAAATGTGTTTTGTCCCCCCCCTCCAAGAACAGCCAATAATGTTGGCTGTTAATGTGCA